CCCTATTCATATTAGGCTGAACTAATGATTACAGCTGGTATTTGTGTCACATCCAAAGCCCGTTGTTTTTTTATGTATTTTAACACGCACTTAGGCATAGAGAGACGTACAATTGACTATACGATTATCCCAGTCATGACTGTGAGAGATACTGAATTAAAATAAGACTTTTTTTTTTCGTATTGTAAGTAAATAAACTTCTCTTTCAAGGTCATTCTTGAAAAGTCAACTAGTTCCAGGAAGATTATTTTTCTCTCGGAACGTTGGGCTTCCATGAATAGACCATTAGAAGCGACCATAGAAATGATTTATTAACGTGCATTGTTGCTATTGTGTACAAGCCTTGAGCTTTTGGCAACGAACGTAGAGGGGTCAATGAACTGTTACACAGTTATCAAGCTTAGTTACAGCAGCGGTACGGTAGTCGAGACCGTTAAGATAAACTGTCGGTCAACATATGTATGGTTTGTATGATAGGGATGCTCAGTTTGCGCAGAGGTGATGAAATGCGATAAAATAAAATATAACTAGTGGACATTTTATTGTAAAGAATAAAAAGATGTGATAAAAATTAGATCGGTTATAACATATAAAAAAATGTGAGGAATAGGCTTAGGAAGTTTTACGTAAAATGGCTTCTAATAAGGTGGTTCCGTAACAAAACAAAAACATATATATATGTGTGTGTGTGTGTACAAAGATGTATGAAAACCTTTTTTATTTAAGAGTTATAAACAAATATAACGAAGATACAGTGTCTATCCAATGAAGTAAAGAACTGCTGTACGTACAATGTTGATAGGTGAATGTACTGACGATATTCCGAACATCGCAGTGAAATTAGAACCGTATAGACGTTGAAGGTTTCTCGAGTAACTAAATATACCAACAGCGCTTTGTACGTACAAAAACGTATGGAACTGTTTGTGCACACGTTGTTGTTGTTTTGTTGTTGTTTTTTTTCAAAAAACATTACAGACGGTCACGTGTAGAAGTGAAAATAGTGTGAAAAATGATAACATGTCTCCACTTTGGTTCTAACCCACGTAATAACGGGTTGTTTCAGTGTGGAGAATTATAACACGTCTCCACTTTGGTTCTAACCCACGTAATAACGGGTTGTTTCAGTGTGTAGAATTATAACACGTCTCCACTTCGGTTCTAACCCACGTGTTAACGGGTTGTTTCAGTGTGTAGAATTATAACACGTTTCCACTTTGGTTCTAACCCACGTAATAACGGGTTGTTTTAGTGTGTAGAATTATAACACGTCTCCACTTTGGTTCTAATCCACGTAGTAACGGCTTGTTTCAGTGTGTAGAATTATAACACGTCTCCACTTTGGTTCTAACCCACGTAATAACGGGTTGTTTTAGTGTGTAGAATTATAACACGTCTCCACTTTGGTTCTAATCCACGTAGTAACGGGTTGTTTCAGTGTGTAGAATTATAACACGTCTCCACTTTGGTTCTAATCCACGTAGTAACGGGTTGTTTGAACGTGGAGAGTGAAACACGTCTCCACTTTGGTTATAATCCACGTAATAAACGGGTTTGAGAAGATGAAAAATTCGTATGGTTATTACGTTTACTTTCAACATAATTTAGACAGCTAATAAACAGTTTGTGTGCTTTTGATGAAAGACGTTTTGAAGTGGGAATCGTGGTAATTTTAAATCGTTATATGTATCATTATCTAGTTGTTTTATTTTTGTCAATACAATTTACCGAAATTTAATACAAAGACAGAGGAATCAAATGAAAGATGAATTTTTAGGCCTTCTCTGTAAAACACAAGAAATGGAAATATTGAGAATAACTGATTCGTTTATGAGTTTGATGTTTTTTAGCCTAAATATCTTATTAATACAGTGCTTTGCCACGAAGTTTAAACCAATGTATATCAGTCTAATGACACACTCATTCAAATATATTTAAACACACACACACACACACCTGTTTCTTGAACTTTCCAGACATCATCACAGATTTCTTCTTTATATGTATAATGAAAATAAATTGTTATCGTTGAATCCCAACTTTAATCGAGGTGTCAACGAAATTCTGTAAGTCTGAAAGATAACCAAAATAAATAAATTTAAGGAAACCGTAAACTTTCCCACAGGCAGAAAGGTCTTTAGTGTTATAATGTGAAGTTACTTTTTAGTTGTTAACTACTTGTAACTTTGTTTTTATCTATATATTACGTGTGTTATTTCTATGTTTTATATTATTGAACTTTCATTTTGCCCTTCCCCAAATATATCCGAAGCGTGGTACGCCACGAAACCGGTTCATAGTAGTAAAATAAAGTTGGAATTCATGTGAAAACTCTCTCTTTCCATTGTATTATGATAATTCATTGGAGTTACTTAATATTTATTGTTTTTGATATATAAATATACATGCAGTTGCCTAAAACTTTTGGCCATGGAGCACTATGTCTAGACTTTGTTTTGCTAATGTTAGACCAAGTTCCATACAGTTTTCACGTTTTGCTATCAGTTTTGTGTTTCATATTTTATCTACTTATGATAATTTGGCCCGGGATGGCCAGGTGGTTAGGGCACTCGACACGCAATCTGTGGGTCGCGGGTTCGAATCCCCGTTACACCGAACATGCTCGCC